TAAGGGGTTCTCTCCCGAACGTCCCGGGCGAAGACTGCGCAAAGCAGGCCGATCCGAGCAGCCGTGGGGAGGATTTTGGCTGCGTCAGTGCTGCGGCCTCGGTGCTCGCGGTTCCGGTGTCCACTGGGTCCCGGGTGGTTCCCCCCGCGGGTCAGCTTGGTCAGGGGCGGCTGGCCGGGACCTTTGCCCCAAACCGCTGACAGCTTTGCGGTTAGAGTGGAAGGCCTGGCCGGGGAACCAAAGGGAAAGGACAGAGGCCTTTATCTCACAATTGCCCCACCGCGCCTTCCCTCCGGATCCCAGGCCGGCGGCCCGCGGAGCTGCGAGCGAGCGGAGAGTGGGCCGCCCGCACCCAGGCAGCTGCCGGAGTCCGCCCTGGGAGGCCCAGCCGGAGAGACGCCCCGGCTGACCTTGCGAGGTTCTTCCGCACTCGCGACCTCGGGCCAGGCGCCCCCGCCCTTTCCTCCCGCGACTCCCGCCGGCCCGGGCCAGCTGTCCTGGAAGGACTCCGCGTGCCTCCTCCGCAGTCCTCCCGCGACGCCCGGCCGGGCCAGCGGGCAGCCCCAGGCGATTCCCAGAGCCCCCTTCCCTGATGGGAACTTCATAGAGACCACGTAGCTGCTGTAGGGAGTTGGAGAAACTTGGAGAAGGAAAAAGCCGAGGAAGCTGGAGTCCTCCCCTCGGCCCGACACCCCTGGCACCACTGGACTCAGATGCCTTCTAGGGGCACCGGGATAGAACTGGGGACCCCGCGCACTGGCTGGGAGGTGGGGTTGCTGGCGCCCAGGTGGGGTGGTCAGGTCAGCGCTGGCTTAGTCCTGGTAGGATGGGCACTTGAGGGACGCGAGAGCTGTGTCCTCCCCGACGCCGGCTTGATGCATTGTAGGGATCTTTCCTATGTGGCACCTTCCAGCTTTGTCTTTTCTGTTTTGTATAAAATAATAATGACAATAAAAGGCAGGAGGGGGGAAATGCCTACACTCTCTAAGAAAAGCCCAACAATGCCAAAATATTAAGGGAGTGGAATGCTGGCGGTATGTTGAGAGAGTGGCTTTCAAACTTTCCTTCTTGATGTTGCTGGCTTTGGTACAATTTTTAATTAAGAAAAGTTACGTAAATCTTTAAAAAGAAGATATTCATTTTCACACATACTAGACAGCAATGATTTTTTATGCGTGCATGTTATTGCCTTATAAAATATGTTGGTTTTGGCTTCTACATCAAAAGCGTCAAGTTTAGTATCAATCACTTCGTGCTACATGGTGCCTTCTTTTTGGAAGTGAAATCATTCATGTGTGGGATTCCCCCTAATCACCGCTTTCTATGTGGGTAGAAAAGATAGTTCAATCTCTGCATCCACGGAATTACTGTAAAGGAAGCTACCCAAGGTGGCTTCAGGACTTTGAGGCTAGCTAGCTGAATCACTGTCATCTTAACATTCTATTGGCCTTATCATTGAAAAGAAACATACAAACCAAAGTTTAAAATGCAGGGAGTTGGATTTAAAAAGTTTGAAAGGCAAAAAATCGGAGAAATAAGACATAAACACAAAGTATGCATAGAAATGTTAATCTTCTCCCCATGATGTAAGTGACCAAATCTCTTCTGCTCTACAAACTGGATGGCACAACTGGATAGTCTGCTTGGACCCAAATGTAAAGAATCTGGTGTAATTTTTCCAGAGAGGGGCAACTGCAACATTTAAGATAGTCATGCTTGTTTTCATCATTATAGATAAAATTTGGGGTCATCTGAGCTATGAAGTATGTAATGCCTTTATTTTTAATTTAAGTATGCAAATATAGAGTTATTTTAGTAATTTTAGATTTAGTACTGGCAACATGATTTATTCTCATAACTTAATAATTGCATGCAATTACCAATTTGCTGCCTGTTAAAATGCTAACATAATATTTTGATTCTTAAGATTTCATATCTAAAGATCAGCTATTTTATTAAAAATAAGAAGGCTTTTATTATTTAAAAGATATTTTAGATACTTTCACCTTTTAATCAACTACTTTACTTCAAGTCTCACATATTTTCTCCTAAAACACTTAGAGCAACTACAGTTCTTGAAACAGTGACAGGTATTTGCTTGTTGAATGAATATGGACTGCAGTATGTGCTTGCACAGTGAATTAATGTCTATGTCTTACTAGACTTCATGCCTTGGAAAACAGACACATTCTCTCATTAGCAAAATGTTTGGCACACATTGATATTTAGTGTGTTTCATTTGATAGAGAATCACACACACACACACACACACAAACTCCTTGCAACTCAACAGTTTTTAAAATGTGGATATTAAATCTAATTAGCATATATATACAGCTTTAATTTTTAAAATTCAGCTAGGAGTTGAGAAAATGCATGCATGTTGAAAGAAGCAAAGATACACATAACATATATTCTCATGATAACTCTGCATTATTAAAGGAGATTTGTAAAGAGAAACAGAACATGATTCTTTTTTCAGAACAAGCTTTAAAGATTGGTTTTATACTGCTTTGTTTTTTCAGTCTCATTTTCAGAAAGAAAGAATTAAATGGAATTTTTTTCAAGTTATATAATTAGCAATTTATTCCAAAAGGAGCTGAGGGCTTTCAAAAAAACTTTTCATGGAAATACTTTTGTAAGTTATTCAGATAATATTCCAGTCTCAAATACAAACCAAGTACATTGTATAACTCTAAAGTTAGTTGATACTTTTTTAACAGTTATCTTGGTTTCATACTTAAGAAAAAAAAAACCCTGAAGTATCTCTTTGAGTAGTTTTCATTTCTTTTTCATTGCTGTTAGTTTAAAGGTGTGCATGGGATCTTGGAGCATTCATTAACTTTGTAAAACACAATGCCATCTTGTTTTAAAGCTAGAAAGTTGAAAAATTAGTCAGAAAAAATATTTTTTTTTTGGTCAGTAAAAGTATGTTTGCCATATTTTATACTTAAATCACTAACAATTTCATTTACGTATACATTATTCTCTTACAGTTCTACTTTTAAGACTTTTAAAAATATGTAGAATAAAGAGCAAAACTCCAACTTGAATACATCCAATTTCAGATACAAAGTAGGCATCAATATTATGTTTTGTCAGAAATAATACAATTTAACTCATGGGCATTGTTAATGACAGATACTCAGACTAGAGAGTTTAAAATAATTTGCATGTCATTTGAATTCAAGTTTTCAAACTTTGTAGTGTCCCATAAATTAGACTGTGTTAGTAAGTTTAGTGTTTTTCATTATTTAGCTTTAAAAAATACTTTTAAAGTAGAAAATATGAAGTTGTTACTAAAAATGGCAGGTGTAGTAGTTTAGGAGCCTCTTTGTTTAAAGACAGAAACTAAATATGGAACCTTTTAGTTTTCAGGGGATTTTTATTTTCATAATGCAACAAGGAACTGAAAATAAAATTGTGAAGGTTTAGCCATTTTAATTATTTACTTGGTGTTCCCCCTACATCTCTAAAAAAGAACACACAACAACTTTTACTTGGAGTTTATTTTAAAGGTCTTGTTCTTTTAAGAAAACGTAGAGATCATTGTGAAATTTATAGCTTAGAGCTGGGTGAAGAGATTGTATCACTTGCTTCTGAACTGCAGAAAAGACATACAACTACTCTGGGGATATCAGGAACCCCACTAGACACCCCTTTCCCTTTCTCTGATTGCTGGTCCATTCCACAACTAATTTGGGAGCTCCACAAAATGTCAGGACTTCACCAGGGACTCAGATCAGTGTGAGATCTCAAAGATTATCATAGAGGACTCACTGCTAATGTGAAAACCAGCTAAATTTGCATGCTCCCTTCTATTGAAGAAGAGGTATCAAGTATATCCTGTCTTGGCACTACCCAGCAGCTGTCTATCTGCACATTTGACACCTGGTGAAATTGTAGTTTCTGATGGAGCAATATTTAAAGTTGACACCTGTCATTGAAACATTTGGTATATAGTTTTCAAAGACAATCTAGAAACCAGTGGTAGACTAAGTACATGTACTTAAATTTTGTTAAAAAAGAAACTGGATAAAAAGTTTAAGTTGTGTAAACTAGGGAAGTATGGCTTTCCAGGAAGAGATTCTCTCTCCCTTTCTTTTATAAATGTCACTCAGCAATAAAATGAAGCATACATTTAAATGACAAAATATTTAAAATTACATGAAAATAAAGAAACAGCAAAAATTGTTTAATGAGGAGTAAGCGACCAAAGACAGAACTTTTATCATGTCATTCCCACCTCTTCTTTTCCACTGAATCTCTAGGGGAGCTTATCAAATGCTTTCAATATAGTGTAATTAAGCGTGTGGGCATCCTTGTGACTCTCCAGGAATCTTGAAATAAGAAATGCCAGATATGTCAAAGCTGAGTTAAAAAGGAAAACACTGAGTTTAGGGTTGCATTCACAACAATGTATTTATCAGATTATACACTGTCACATGAGATTTCTCTTGACCGTCGAAGCTCAGACAGCTCCACCGCTGCTCACGTGTTTCGCCGCACTTAAACCAAACTCCCCCGGTGCGTGGGGGCTCTCTCCAGTGCCG